AATAATGCAACAAGGAGTTCATCACGTGGGATGCACATGAAGTGTAACCAAGCCGGTGAGGGCTTCAAAGTGACACGTACGTTGAGCCTTCCTTGAGGGTGTTGTGGTGGGGTAGCGTATGTTGTGATTTTTATAGTCGGGTGCGTGCCAATTTGATATGCAAATGTGGAGAATGTGCGTTTTTTTCTATTCCGGGATTAATGATAGTGAACAACTTGTCGCTATCACAGTCTCGAAAGGTTACTTTTATCACATCACATGTTCATAGCAATGTTAACATTGTTTATGCGATATAGTTTAATCTCGGAGAATAACACACATTTGCATCGATCAAATTGAATTGTATGGTTGAGTGTATTCGATCTGGGCTGGGGTGAGCTTATGTTGATTTTCACGACCGATTGCGCTCCCGCTACGGAATGAGAATCTGGACTTCCTTCCTCAGGCGATCTGTGTGGGGATGAGCCTGTCGCCTTTGGTAAGAGTATTATAAGGAGTTCAGCTAGACTGAGTTATGATGAGGTTGATGCTGCTATGGGCGCCGAGACCAAAGGCAATGCTTTTCAGATTGGTAGGTAGGGAATATATGCTCATTGTGTTGGTGAAAATATGGAAATTCTGGGAAAATTTTGGGGGATTTATCGATGGGTCTTTTGCATATTTCTACCTAAAATTGTGAGTAGATTTTCATAATGTAGTGAGGAAACTTATGAGCTCAGTTGAGGAAAGCAAAGATATATTTCCACACTGGCAAATTCGAATGGGAGTTTCAGATCGTGCGATCCTGGAAGACATTCGGCTGCTGTGGGACGTGGCTGCGAAGAGGAATGCCTCTCGTGGTGATGATACTATCCGAGTTAGTTCATCGAAGGTAAATCGATCATCTGGGCGTGCGCTTATTGCATTGCGCAGGTAAAATTCGAATTTGCATCGGCAGATTCATTGATACCAACGAAGTGCTGGTCGGAATCAGCATCGGATTTCACCACTCCGAATAGCCACTCCTTGATTGAGGAGTTTATGGTAAAATAAACTCATTTGGTTGATGATGATTATTCTTCGCGATAAAATTTTTGTTGAGGTGCTTGTGGTTCGTCGTTATTGGAAAAGTCATATTAGTAGTAACTTGTCGTCGCTATATTGTCTTGGAGTATATGTTTGCCTTCTTCAGAGGGCTAAAGAGTTTGCATACGAAATCGGGTAGAAACCAATAAGAATTGCTCGCAGTTTTCATGTTGTCACCAACACATGTAGTTGACCATGTACATATTTTTCTCCGACACTAGGGCGTTGCTGGGATGACTACACAGAGGCTGAGGCGCCCCCCCCCTACTGCTGTTGAATTTGGTTACTAGTGGAGCATTCAGGATGGTGAATTTCGCACGAAAATGCCTTTTTTCGCATATGAGGAAAGCTACTCGTGACTACTCCTTGTGAACTGCATAGGTTTTGGCGAACCGTCTGGTGGCGGAGCGTTTGGTGGAAGGAATTGACGTGAATGGAAAGTCGCCACCGCCGATTCTCAGACAGCATCCAAACACTGAGGCGCAGGTGGGTCCCGGGTTCGATCCCCGGTAGTGTTATTTCGGTGTATTGCCTCAGGTTTTGGAGACGATATTGCCCATTCTTCGACGGGGTTTCCCAGATT